ATTTCCCGCAACGAAGGATTCAGTCCTCGGTAGAATTCCAAGGATCCTGGAATTGGAACAGTCCTTCCTCGACATTGAGAAACACCGTGAGAGTGACTGGGCAAGGACTTCTGAGTAGACGTATTTAACATGAGTCGAGCCAAATAAACTTAATATGACTTATTGTGTGGGACAGAACGCCATCTGGAGGGAACATGGGGATTTTAGCCTCTGCAGACCGTTTACATGCACTAAAACCAAGAGAACAGGAGAGGGGACAACCAAAAAGTAAAAATAGGTCCCCTTTAAGTAATTCAACACTGAGGCTGCAACATGAGTGATTGCTTTGATGCGTGTAATTATTACAAATGAACCCTGAATGACCTTGCTGCGCTGTGATTGGTTCTCCTGCAGGACAGGAGCGTGGTGCTCAGGAAGTGGTTCGATCTGCTGACGCTGCACAAAGAGGACCTCGCCAGACTCATCACCTTCGAATGTGTGAGTACAGAGGGGACACATGCTGATGTAGAAGAGACATGAAGAAGAGGGGACACATGCTGATGTAGAAGAGACATGAAGAAGAGGGGACACATGTTGATGTAGAAGGGACACGTGTTGATGTAGAAGAGACATGAAGAAGAGGGGACACGTGTTGATGTAGAAGGGACACGTGTTGATGTAGAAGAGACATGAAGAAGAGGGGACACATGTTGATGTAGAAGAGACATGAAGAAGAGGGGACACATGTTGATGTAGAAGAGACATGAAGAAGAGGGGACACATGTTGATGTAGAAGAGACATGAAGAAGAGGGGACACATGTTGATGTAGAAGAGACATGGAGAAGAGGGGACACATGTTGATGTAGAAGAGACATGAAGAAGAGGGGACACATGTTGATGTAGAAGAGACATGAAGAAGAGGGGACACATGTTGATGTAGAAGAGACATGAAGAAGAGGGGGACACATGTTGATGAAGAAGAGACATGAAGAAGAGGGGACACATGTTGATGAAGAAGAGACATGAAGAAGAGGGGACACGTGTTGATGTAGAAGAGACATGAGAAGAGGGGACACATGTTGATGTAGAAGAGACCATGAAGAAGAGGGGACACATGTTGATGTAGAAGAGACATGAAGAAGAGGGGACACATGTTGATGTAGAAGAGACATGAAGAAGAGGGGACACATGTTGATGTAGAAGAGACATGAAGAAGAGGGGACACATGTTGATGTAGAAGAGACATGAAGAAGAGGGGACACATGTTGATGTAGAAGAGACATGAAGAAGAGGGGACACATGTTGATGTAGAGGAGACATGAAGAAGAGGGGGACACATGTTGATGTAGAAGAGACATGAAGAAGAGGGGACACATGTTGATGTAGAGGAGACATGAGAAGAGGGGACACATGTTGAAGTAGAGGGAACATGAAGAAGAGGGGACACATGTTGATGTAGAAGAGACATGAAGAAGAGGGGACACATGTTGATGTAGAAGAGACATGAAGAAGAGGGGACACATGTTGATGTAGAAGAGACATGAAGAAGAGGGGGAACAATGTTGATGTAGCAAGAGACATGAAGAAGAGGGGACACATGTTGATGTAGAGGAGACATGAAGAAGAGGGGACACATGTTGATGTAGAGGAGACATGAAGAAGAGGGGACACATGTTGATGTAGAAGAGACATGGAGAAGACGGGACACATGTTGATGTAGAAGAGACATGGAAACGTGGATTTTGTATAATAGGTCCCTTTAACCGTGTACCTGTCAGCGTGAGAGAGACCTTTGACCAGATGTTTTTCTGTGTCTTCAGGGAAAGCCCCTGCAGGAGTCCCGCGGGGAGATCGCGTACGCCGCCTCCTTCCTGGAGTGGTTTTCGGAGGAGGCTCGGCGAGTGTACGGAGACGTGGTCCCCTCCCCCGCTAGAGACCGGAAGATCCTCCTCCTCAAACAGCCCACCGGCGTGGCCGCCATCATCACGCCGGTGAGCTGCCACTTCAGCTTTAGTTTCTACAGTAGATAGAATCGGAGCGTGTGGTGACTATTGCCACTCAATATCCCCTGGGATCGACTAAGCTGGGTTAACTAGACCGTTCCATGTACGACGAAGTTTAGCTTTCAATATCTTTTAGTTACAAAGAAAAACAGCGTGTTCACAGACACGGTCAAAAAACTATTGCTCTCCCAGTCAATATCACACACACCTGTGCCAGGAGACCAGTTACATGTTGTTGCCCCATTACGCCATCTAGTGTTCAAACATATAATCCAGAGGATCAATCCCTCTTTAATGGTCACACATACACATAGTGACATTTGACCTCTGCTTTTGACCCACCTTAGTACTGGGAGCAGTGGGCAGATATTGCACAGCGCCCGGGGAGCAATGGGGGTGGGGGGGTGTCCGGTGCCTTGCTCAGGGGCACCACATCAGGGTCCAGGAGGTGAACTGGGACCAAGTAGCAGTCCACACTCCATATTTAGGTCTGTTCGGGGACTTGAACCGGCGACCCTACGGCTCCCAGTCCAAGCCCCTACTGACTGACTTACAATAACCACAGAAGAAGAATTGTATGTACTGTAATGTAACAAGATACCAGTCTGTTGTGATTTTGGCATCATTTTGAAACGTGTACAATTTTTTAAATAACATAAACAGATGTTAATATTTGTTAGAAAACTCTCACTGGTCCCCGGCTTGAGCTTGAACCTCAGGATCCATGTATCTGTGATCCTCTCCAGAATGGAAGGAGTCATCACATACAGAGCATCAACTAGTTCCTGAACAGTGTCCTTCACATGCTGATATCCAAGAGAGGGAGTTACACAGTCACAAGATGGAGGAATAGAAAGCAGTATTCAATGTTTACTTCAGATTAGCTCCACGTCAGAAATGAGCATGCTTGATGTCTCTCTCCATAGAGGCTGAATCATCATGTTAATCACATAGCTATCATCTGCCTCAAACAGTCCTGATGCTCTTCTAGGTAATCACACATCCTGTCATGTTCACAGCTACAGTTGGGAGTCAGTTTATTAATTAATTGATTCCGTCCACAGTGGAACTTCCCCAGTGCGATGATCACCAGGAAGGTGGGCGCGGCGCTAGCGGCCGGTTGCACGGTGGTGGTGAAGCCGGCCGAGGACACGCCGCTGTCCGCCCTCGCTCTGGCCGAGGTAACTACGCCTCATATCGGTTTAAGACCTGATTCTATTCATCATCATGAATCCACTGCTACGCTCTCTCCTAACACACTTTGAGGCGCACACACTCCTGGAGAGGGGATGATATCATCAGAGCTGTAACGTAACTAAGTACATTTACTCAGGTACTGTACTTAACTTGAGTATTTCAATACTACAGTTCAGAGGTACATGGTGTACTTACATGTATTTAATCCCTTTAGTTACTTCACAGATGTGGATAAATGATGTGAAATCTAATCAAGTGTTGAATCAGACTTTAGTTCCACCTGGAGTAAATCCACCAGCTACCCTGCAGTATACAAAGTACTTCAAACTAGCTGCACCTTCACCAGCTTTGAGAACACTTTCATGATCAATCATTATTAAACCCTGCAGCTGGCGGAGCAGGCGGGGGTCCCAGCGGGGGTCTTCAACGTGGTCCCCTGCTCCCGGGAGAAGACTCCCTCTGTCGGGCAGGTTCTCTGCACCGACCCCCTGGTGGCCAAAATCTCCTTCACCGGCTCCACGGCCACCGGCAAGGTGAGAGGAAGTTACAGAACAGGGGGTCCAAACTACGGCCGGGGTCCTTCCCTCCTTCAACATATCTTTATTATGAATTGTGCATCAATCATCATTTATACATTTTGAATTGGCCGTCAGCGATCTCTAAAGGTATCATGGAGTTTGGCCCACACATGTCTTATTGTACGTCTGAAATATATATATACATGTATTACACAGCAGTATTGATTTGTTAATAAGCCCGCTTAACTTCAGTCAGTTCAAGTTGAGAAATCTTAGTTCAATAACTTGTTTGCATAAGAAGCTTGAGATACACACTTCCTATTTCACCTAATAATAAAACCTAGTCTCTCTCCCACACACAGTACAGCAGCGTGCAGGCGTGATATCTGACCATGCTGCAGTATTTAAACATCGTGTACTCCGCTGTCAGATACTTCTGAAAATGGCCGCCGACACGGTGAAGAAGGCGTCCATGGAGCTGGGAGGCCACGCCCCCTTCATCGTGTTCGACAGCGCAGACGTGGAAATGGCCGTCAGCGGCGCCATGAACTCCAAGTTCAGGAACTCCGGACAGGTAACCAGTACTCGCAGTGCTACAGTACAAACTATAAGATGAGACTTTATTCATCCCGAAGGAAATAGTTGTGCAAAAATACAAAAAACACAGAAGCACTCAAGTAGAAAGTACAGGTATTTGAGTTCAACATGTGAGAAGTAGAAAGTACAGGTATTTGGGTTCAACATGAGAGAAGTAGAAAGTACAGGTATTTGAGTTCAACATGTAAGAAGTAGAAAGTACAGGTATTTGAGTTCAACATGTAAGAAGTAGAAAGTACAGGTATTTGGGTTCAACATGTAAGAAGTAGAAAGTACAGGTATTTGAGTTCAACATGTAAGAAGTAGAAAGTACAGGTATTTGAGTTCAACATGTAAGAAGTAGAAAGTACAGGTATTTGTGTTCAACATGTAAGAAGTAGAAAGTACAGGTATTTGAGTTCAACATGTAAGAAGTAGAAAGTACAGGTATTTGAGTTCAACATGTAAGAAGTAGAAAGTATAGGTATTTGAGTTCAACATGTAAGAAGTAGAAAGTACAGGTATTTGGGTTCAACATGTAAGAAGTAGAAAGTATAGGTATTTGAGTTCAACATGTAAGAAGTAGAAAGTACAGGTATTTGTGTTCAACATGTAAGAAGTAGAAAGTACAGGTATTTGTGTTCAACATGTAAGAAGTAGAAAGTACAGGTATTTGTGTTCAACATGTAAGAAGTAGAAAGTACAGGTATTTGTGTTCAACATGTAAGAAGTAGAAAGTACAGGTATTTGAGTTCAACATGTAAGAAGTAGAAAGTACAGGTATTGTAGTTCAACATGTAAGAAGTAGAAAGTACAGGTATTTGAGTTCAACATGTAAGAAGTAGAAAGTACAGGTATTTGGTTTCAACATGTAAGAAGTAGAAAGTACAGGTATTTGGTTCAACATGTAAGAAGTAGAAAGTACAGGTATTTGGGTTCAACATGTAAGAAGTAGAAAGTACAGGTATTTGGTTTCAACATGTAAGAAGTAGAAAGAACAGGTATTTGGGTTCAACATGTAAGAAGTAGAAAGTACAGGTATTTGGGTTCAACATGTAAGAAGTAGAAAGTACAGGTATTTGGTTTCAACATGTGAGAAGTAGAAAGTACAGGTATTTGGTGTTCAACATGTAAGAAGTAGAAAGTACAGTATTTGAGTTCAACATGTAGAAGTAGAAGTACAGGTATTTGGGTTCAACATGTAAGAAGTAGAAAGTACAGGTATTTGGTTTCAACATGTAAGAAGTAGAAAGTACAGGTATTTGGGTTCAACATGTAAGAAGTAGAAAGTACAGGTATTTGTGTTCAACATGTAAGAAGTAGAAAGTACAGGTATTTGAGTTCAACATGTAAGAAGTAGAAAGTACAGGTATTTGTGTTCAACATGTAAGAAGTAGAAAGTACAGGTATTTGTGTTCAACATGTAAGAAGTAGAAAGTACAGGTATTTGAGTTCAACATGTAAGAAGTAGAAAGTACAGGTATTTGAGTTCAACATGTAAGAAGTAGAAAGTACAGGTATTTGTGTTCAACATGTAAGAAGTAGAAAGTACAGGTATTTGTGTTCAACATGTAAGAAGTAGAAAGTACAGGTATTTGAGTTCAACATGTAAGAAGTAGAAAGTACAGGTATTTGAGTTCAACATGTAGAAAGTATAAAGTACAGGTATTTGTGTTCAACATGTAAGAAGTAGAAAGTACAGGTATTTGTGTTCAACATGTAAGAAGTAGAAAGTACAGGTATGTGAGTTGAACATGTGAGAAGTAGAAAGTACAGGTATTTGAGTTCAACATGTAAGAAGTAGAAAGTACAGGTATTTGTGTTCAACATGTAAGAAGTAGAAAGTACAGGTATTTGTGTTCAACATGTAAGAAGTAGAAAGTACAGGTATTTGTGTTCAACATGAGATAAGTAGAAAGTACAGGTATTTGTGTTCAACATGTAAGAAGTAGAGAGTACAGGTATTTGTGTTCAACATGTGAGAAGTAGAAAGTACAGGTATTTGAGTTCAACATGTAAGAAGTAGAAAGTACAGGTATTTGTGTTCAACATGTGAGAAGTAGAAAGTACAGGTATTTGAGTTCAACATGTAAGAAGTAGAAAGTACAGGTATTTGGGTTCAACATGTAAGAAGTAGAAAGTACAGGTATTTGTGTTCAACATGTAAGAAGTAGAAAGTACAGGTATTTGTGTTCAACATGTAAGAAGTAGAAAGTACAGGTATTTGTGTTCAACATGAGATAAGTAGAAAGTACAGGTATTTGTGTTCAACATGTAAGAAGTAGAAAGTACAGGTATTTGTGTTCAACATGAGATAAGTAGAAAGTACAGGTATTTGTGTTCAACATGTAAGAAGTAGAGAGTACAGGTATTTGTGTTCAACATGTGAGAAGTAGAAAGTACAGGTATTTGAGTTCAACATGTAAGAAGTAGAAAGTACAGGTATTTGTGTTCAACATGTGAGAAGTAGAAAGTACAGGTATTTGAGTTCAACATGTAAGAAGTAGAAAGTACAGGTATTTGGGTTCAACATGTAAGAAGTAGAAAGTACAGGTATTTGTGTTCAACATGTAAGAAGTAGAAAGTTCAGGTATTTGGGGTTCAACATGTGAGAAGTAGAAAGTACAGGTATTTGTGTTCAACATGTGAGAAGTAGAAAGTACAGGTATTTGTGTTCAACATGTAAGAAGTAGAAGTACAGGTATTTGTGTTCAACATGTAAGAAGTAGAAAGTACAGGTATTTGAGTTCAACATGTAAGAAGTAGAAAGTACAGGTATTTGGGTTCAACATGTGAGAAGTAGAAAGTACAGGTATTTGAGTTCAACATGAGAGAAGTAGAAAGTTCAGGTATTTGGGTTCAACATGTGAGAAGTAGAAAGTACAGGTATTTGTGTTCAACATGTAAGAAGTAGAAAGTTCAGGTATTTGGGTTCAACATGTGAGAAGTAGAAAGTACAGGTATTTGTGTTCAACATGTAAGAAGTAGAAAGTACAGGTATTTGAGTTCAACATGTAGAAAGTACAGGTATTTGGGTTCAACATGTAAGAAGTAGAAAGTACAGGTATTTGAGTTCAACATGTAGAAAGTACAGGTATTTGAGTTCAACATGTAAGAAGTAGAAAGTACAGGTATTTGTGTTCAACATGTAAGAAGTAGAAAGTTCAGGTATTTGGGTTCAACATGTAAGAAGTAGAAAGTACAGGTATTTGAGTTCAACATGAGAGAAGTAGAAAGTTCAGGTATTTGGGTTCAACATGAGAGAAGTAGAAAGTTCAGGTATTTGGGTTCAACATGTGAGAAGTAGAAAGTACAGATATTTGTGTTCAACATGTAAGAAGTAGAAAGTACAGGTATTTGGGTTCAACATGTAAGAAGTAGAAAGTACAGGTATTTGAGTTCAACATGTAAGAAGTAGAAAGTACAGGTATTTGGGTTCAACATGTAAGAAGTAGAAAGTACAGGTATTTGTGTTCAACATGTGAGAAGTAGAAAGTACAGGTATTTGAGTTCAACATGTAAGAAGTAGAAAGTACAGGTATTTGAGTTCAACATGTAAGAAGTAGAAAGTACAGGTATTTGAGTTAACATGTAAGAAGTAGAAAGTACAGGTATTTGGGTTCAACATGTAAGAAGTAGAAAGTACAGGTATGTGAGTTGAACATGTGAGAAGTAGAAAGTACAGGTATTTGAGTTAACATGTAAGAAGTAGAAAGTACAGGTATTTGTGTTCAACATGTGAGAAGTAGAAAGTACAGGTATTTGGGTTCAACATGTGAGAAGTAGAAAGTACAGGTATTTGAGTTCAACATGTGAGAAGTAGAAAGTACAGGTATGTGAGTTGAACATGTGAGAAGTAGAAAGTACAGGTATTTGAGTTAACATGTAAGAAGTAGAAAGTACAGGTATTTGAGTTAACATGTAAGAAGTAGAAAGTACAGGTATTTGGGTTCAACATGTGAGAAGTAGAAAGTACAGGTATTTGGGTTCAACATGTGAGAAGTAGAAAGTACAGGTATTGGGTTCAACATGTAAGAAGTAGAAAGTACAGGTATTTGTGTTCAACATGTAAGAAGTAGAAAGTACAGGTATTTGAGTTCAACATGTGAGAAGTAGAAAGTACAGGTATTTGAGTTCAACATGTAAGAAGTAGAAAGTACAGGTATTTGAGTTCAACATGTAAGAAGTAGAAAGTACAGGTATTTGTGTTCAACATGTGAGAAGTAGAAAGTACAGGTATTTGAGTTCAACATGTAAGAAGTAGAAAGTACATGTATTTGTGTTCAACATGTAAGAAGTAGAAAGTACAGGTATTTGTGTTCAACATGTGAGAAGTAGAAAGTACAGGTATTGTGTTCAACATGTGAGAAGTAGAAAGTACAGGTATTTGTGTTCAACATGTGAGAAGTAGAAAGTACAGGTATTTGAGTTCAACATGTAAGAAGTAGAAAGTACAGGTATTTGTGTTCAACATGTGAGAAGTAGAAAGTACAGGTATTTGTGTTCAACATGTGAGAAGTAGAAAGTACAGGTATTTGAGTTCAACATGTAAGAAGTAGAAAGTACAGGTATTTGTGTTCAACATGTGAGAAGTAGAAAGTACAGGTATTTGAGTTCAACATGTAAGAAGTAGAAAGTACAGGTATTTGTGTTCAACATGTGAGAAGTAGAAAGTACAGGTATTTGTGTTCAACATGTAAGAAGTAGAAAGTACAGGTATTTGAGTTCAACATGTAAGAAGTAGAAAGTACAGGTATTTGTGTTCAACATGTAAGAAGTAGAAAGTACAGGTATTTGAGTTCAACATGTAAGAAGTAGAAAGTACAGGTATTTGTGTTCAACATGTAAGAAGTAGAAAGTACAGGTATTTGAGTTCAACATGTAAGAAGTAGAAAGTACAGGTATTTGTGTTCAACATGTAAGAAGTAGAAAGTACAGGTATTTGAGTTCAACATGTAAGAAGTAGAAAGTACAGGTATTTGAGTTCAACATGTGAGAAGTAGAAAGTCATCAGAAAAATAAGTAGTGGAGTAAAGAACTGATACCAGAACGAAGTATTTGTATTCCACTACTTCCCACCGCTGAACATAAAACATCAGAACTCTGACTCCCCCCTCTTCCTGCAGACGTGCGTGTGTTCGAACCGCTTCCTGGTGCAGAGCAAGATCCACGATGTGTTCGTGGAGAAGCTCAGCCGAGCGATGGACGCCGAACTCGTGCTGGGTCACGGCTCGGAGCCCAGCACCACGCAGGGCCCGCTGATCAACAACAGAGCTGCAGAGAAGGTGAACCACAAACTACTCAAGATGTAATCACAGGAGTTTCACTCACAGCAACGGGTCGACAGGGAGAGATCTCGCTCTGCAGAGAGAACAAGACGTATCAGCATGTAGTGTCTCCACTTTAAAGAGTCCTCTCCTGCTGATGTGCAGCTGTATATCAGTATGTAGTGTCTCTACTTTAAAGAGTCCTCTCCTGCTGATTTTCAGGTGTATATCAGTATGTAGTGTCTCCACTTTAAAGAGTCCTCTCCTGCTGATGTTCAGGTGTATATCAGTATGTAGTGTCTCTACTTTAAAGAGTCCTCTCCTGCTGATGTTCAGGTGTATATCAGTATGTAGTGTCTCTACTTTAAAGAGTCCTCTCCTGCTGATGTTCAGGTGTATATCAGTATGTAGTGTCTCTACTTTAAAGAGTCCTCTCCTGCTGATGTTCAGGTGTATATCAGTATGTAGTGTCTCTCCTTTAAAGAGTCCTCTCCTGCTGATGTTCAGATGTATATCAGTATGTAGTGTCTCTACTTTAAAGAGTCCTCTCCTGCTGATGTTCAGGTGTATATCAGTATGTTGTGTCTCTACTTTAAAGAGTCCTCTCCTGCTGATGTTCAGGTGTATATCAGTATGTTATGTCTCTACTTTAAAGAGTCCTCTCCTGCTGATGTTCAGGTGTATATCAGTAAGTAGTGTCTCTACTTTAAAGAGTCCTCTCCTGCTGATGTTCAGGTGTATATCAGTATGTAGTGTTTCTACTTTAAGAGTCCTCTCCTGCTGATGTTCAGGTGTATATCAGTATGTAGTGTCTCTACTTTAAAGAGTCCTCTCCTGCTGATGTTCAGGTGTATATCAGTGTAGTGTCTCTACTTTAAAGAGTCCTCTCCTGCTGATGTTCAGGTGTATATCAGTGTAGTGTCTCTACTTTAAAGAGTCCTCTCCTGCTGATGTTCAGGTGTATATCAGTGTAGTGTCTCTACTTTAAAGAGTCCTCTCCTGCTGATGTTCAGGTGTATATCAGTATGTTATGTCTCTACTTTAAAGAGTCCTCTCCTGCTGATGTTCAGGTGTATATCAGTAAGTAGTGTCTCTACTTTAAAGAGTCGTCTCCTGCTGATGTTCAGGTGTATATCAGTATGTAGTGTTTCTACTTTAAAGACTCCTCTCCTGCTGATGTTCAGGTGTATATCAGTATGTAGTGTCTTTACTTTAAAGAGTCCTCTCCTGCTGATGTTCAGGTGTATATCAGTAAGTAGTGTCTCTACTTTAAAGAGTCCTCTCCTGCTGATGTTCAGGTGTATATCAGTATGTAGTGTCTCTACTTTAAAGAGTCCTCTCCTGCTGATGTTCAGGTGTATACCAGTATGTAGTGTCTCTACTTTAAAGAGTCCTCTCCTGCTGATGTTCAGGTGTATATCAGTATGTAGTGTCTCTACTTTAAAGAGTCCTCTCCTGCTGATGTTCAGGTGTAAAAGTTGAATCCAGATGTATTTTCTCTCTCCATTCATTCTTCTGAGGGGGCGGGGCTTAATGACAGGAGGTGGGGCTTAAGGGGAAACTCAACTGCGCTCTATGAGCTACATACGGGTACTTCTGCTCTCACAGCAAGGCATGATGGGTAATCTGCGACGTTTTGCTCTAGAGAATCTCAGGCCAATTTGTCCTCATGAGCCAATGAGCAGCTCTCACAGGAAAGAACAGGCTGTGTCCAGTTCTTATTAAACATCCACCGTTATATTTTACTATAATTTTTTTATGTTATTATAGTTTTCTTAAAATAGTTCTCTCTCTTTGTTTTTAATCTTTGTTTTACTTTCATGTATGCATCATGACACCAAGTCAAATTCCTCGTACGTGTCAACCTACCTGGTGATAAACCTGGTTCTGATGCTGTGTGCAGGTGGAGGCCCAGATCTCGGACGCGGTGTCCCGGGGGGCGAAGGTTCTGCGGGGGGGGAAGCGTCTGGACGGCTCCTTCGTGCAGCCCACGCTCCTCACTGACGTCTCCACAGACATGATCTGCACCCGGGAGGAGACCTTCGGCCCGCTGCTGCCCGTCATCAGGTCTGACACTCATAAAGCTGTTAGAGAAGTCTCCCTGGTCCCCGGCTTGAGCTTCAGCCTCAGGATCCATGTATCTGTGATCCTCTCCAGAATGGAAGGAGTCATCACATACAGAGCATCAACTAGTTCCTGAACAGTGTCCTTCACATGCTGATATCCAAGAGAGGGAGTTACACAGTCACAAGATGGAGGAATAGAAAGCAGTATTCAATGTTTACTTCAGATTAGCTCCACGTCAGAAATGAGCATGCTTGATGTCTCTCTCCATAGAGGCTGAATCATCATGTTAATCACATAGCTATCATCTGCCTCAAACAGTCCTGGTGCTCTTCTAGGTAATCACACATCCTGTCATGTTCACAGCTACAGTTGATACCTTTGTTATCAGTTACTCTCATGTTGGAAGAGGACGTTCAGTGTTTTCACAAAAATACACATCTCTTTAGAAATGTCCCAAACTGTATTAGGAAAATATCAAATAAGGACTTGGCATCCTAACCCACCTTGCATAAGGCTCAGAGTTGATGTAACCACACTGAATTAAATAAACCAAAGATCAAACCGCACTTTGAAACAACATTTATTGTTGTGTTAAACTTGAGGGTCATTTTTCTATTTTACTTTTTGTTTAATTCAATTTTTCTCAGGCAGAAAGCCATGTCACAGGACTGGTACATAACCTCTTTAAATAAAATACGAGGCACAGAATTAGCAAATAAAATTATATTTATTATCATTTATTTTATGCAAAGATTCTAGTAAAAATATATTCTATTAAATGTGATTTAATTGTCAAATAATTATTGTACACATGGATCCAATAATGACCTTTTTTATAAACCTAAAAAGGAAAGAGAAAAATCTAAAACAGAGAATAAATGATATGTATTTTGTGTATGTATTCAATCCAATGCCATCATGTGTAACATATTTCTATATATTCCTGTAGCTTAGTAAGACTGTATATTGTAAAGTACTCAATGTATTCAATATTTTATTGTGTATGATTTAGAATTGATAAATACTTGCTGCTAATATTAATTATCTTTTTTAAATATATTTACTCAAATAATGCTTGACAACACGCTGCTGGAACAAAATCACTTCCCAATTTGGGAACAATAAAGTATCTGTCTATTTACAAAAACCAACAGCTATAATGCACCTGCTATGGATGTTTATCGTCTAGGTAGCGCTTTATAAAAACAGTTCAAATGTGTTAAAAAGATGAAATACATCAACCACTAAAGATGTTTGTGGTTTCCAGGTTTGACACAGAGGAGGAAGCTCTGGCCATCGCTAACGCTTCTAATGTCGGGCTGGCAGGTGAGTTGCTTATAAAAAGAGTCAGATTTGTTCTTCTACTTGTCATCAAATTGAACCCTGAACTGTAGAGCAGGGTCTCCAGCACATAGAAACTGCCGGATGCTAAGCTGCAGATGTTGGGACATTTGCACAACATTACGTTAATTAGGATTATAGCCATGTCAACAATTGTAAAAAAAAAAAAGATGGCTTGGCCGATTTGGACAGTTCTGGAGTGGTTTTGGGGCTTAGTGAGGATGCTGAATCCATTTCTGACATTTCCAGGATCAACAATGACAGATTTAACCAGAAAGTGGCCATATCTGTTCTCTGTGGACTACCATGAGTAGAGTTGGACCATTGGATATAGAGAGCACAAGATGAACATTATTACCTCTACTGTGGACACAATTAAATAAGCAATCTGTCCAATCCAGATCATCCCGAGTCCCCTAAATCTTCCAAATCGACCCTAAATTAATCAAAAAGCAGTCCACAGAGAACAGATATGTCAACTTTCTGGTTATAACTGCAATTTTGAATCTTGATAAATGTCAGAAATGGACTCGGCACCAATACATCTCAATAACCCCCAAAACCACTCCAAAATGGTCCAAATCAGCCAGTAGGATAGGCTAGGATAGGATATAATGCTAATTGATGCAAATTAACGCAACCTTGCTAATTATACAAATTGTCCAACATCTGCAGGTTAGCATCCAGCCGTTTCTATCGTTAAACTTTGTGGTATCAACATTGCAGGGTTCACAACAGGACTCCTGCCTGAAATCAATCAACAACTTTATTAATCCTGCAAGGGGCAATTGGTTATGAGCCGCTTATGTCATGTTCACAGGCAGGAACACACAGCAAGAAAGCACACAGATACACCCCTGGATGTGGATCATTCCGGTTTACACTATAATGCTGTGATGTTCCTGTCCTCAGGGTACTTCTTCTCGCAGGACGTGAGTCAGATCTGGCGCGTGGCGGAGGCGTTGGAGGTGGGGATGGTGGGAGTGAACGAAGGCCTCCTGTCCACCCCGGAGGCCACGTTCGGGGGGGTCAAACAGTCCGGGTTGGGCCGCGAAGGCTCCAAATACGGCGTGGACGAGTATCTGGAGGTCAAGTACATGTGCTTCGGAGGCCTCAAACCCTGAAGGGAGGCAGCAGGGAAATACAATCAAAGTATAAGTGCAGTAATCTGTCAAGGTGGTCATACCTGTAGATCTCAGGTTCTTAAATTAACGTACCTGTGACCAACACATCTAAAATAACCCCTTTTTAAATTTCAGCTTCTTGACTACCTTTTGAAGAACTTTAAGTTTAAGTAAATTAGTATGTTTTCACTAATCGGAAAATAGCTCGTTAGGAACGTTTTTGTTTTCAAAGGAAATTGTCTTTCGGGCAACGATTTTATTTCGTCAGCTATATTGATTTCTTGGGTTTTAGTCTTTATGATTCAAATCACAAAGTCAATCAAAAATCAGTTTTATGAAAGACAAAACATGTTTTTAGAACCTGTGACCTTGAGCTATGCAGTCTACCGTTACATCCCATGACCTGAGGGGAATACTCTCTTCCGATTGGCTAGTTGCTGCCTCTGTAAATCTTTCCAGTTTTCCCAAATTACAATAACTAACGGATTTACCATTAACTTTCAAAGAGTGGAAAAAAGCAGTTTTAGATCTGTTGCTGAACAAGAGATTAATAAGTTAGTGGTAAACTCCGTCTACAGCCAACATGAAGTATGTCGTTTTACAAAGAAGGCTACATGGATGATATAAAGAATTAAAGGAGCTTTTGTATCATTGTTAAAGCTAGTTGGCTCTACACATACATCGTAAAGACCTTAAAACGCTTCAGATGGTTAGTAAACATAAAACAAGATACTTGGACAAGTGAGATGTATAGTATACTTTATTATCATTTTCAAAAGAGAAAAACATTTGAACATGATGGAAAAACTCATTAAAATAAAGTCATTTAAGAGTGGGACAGACGTGCTAACGTTAGCGTAACCTCTTATATATATATCCACTCAGGTCCTGGATGATGATATATATATATATATATATATATATATATATATATATATATATATATATATATATCCACTCAGGTGCTGGATGATGGTATATATATATATATATATACCATCATACCATCATCCAGGACCTGAGTGGAGCTTTATATAATATGACCTGTGACACAACAATGCAGTTAATGCTGATAACTATCCCTGTAAGACGGGTTGCTGCTGTTCAGTAATGAGCTAGTTAGCGTTAGCAGCTTACATGAGAGCAGAGAAATCAGACTGTTGCTGAGGACATCACAAATACTAAACTCTACCCAATCAGAATCCAGTATTTTCTGACGATGAAGCAAATGTTGGTAGTGGCCGAACGGCGTACTGTTATATTTTCATTATTTACAACACCGGATTGAGTACAAACACCTCCTCAAACCCACCTGTTCAGACCACCCCCCCTGTAGTGCTACGTGTCCCGCATCGCTGTCCTGTTGTACCGTTTTTAAGAATACACTCCGAATGGTAAGGTGTCCTTGGGTGCTTTGTGAGGCGCCTCTAAATAAAATGTATTTTAGTATGTGTGACATCCATATTTTTCCATTCAGAAATATCTCAATAACCAATTGGTAGATTACATGGTAACAAAGGCAATAACAATAACTCAGATTTGATGGTGAGGGTCTCAGTAGCACAAAGGTCTTTGTTTAAAACGGTAAAGAAGCTGCACACTTGGCCGTGGTGGAAAAGGGAGATTTACTGTGATTAAATACATGAAAAGCGTAAACTAGATTATTCACGTTTCTTCATGATTAAATTACTTTTGTATGCTGACATTTGATTACTTTGGGATACATGGTATGTGTGTGTTAGTGTGTATAAATCATCAGCAAGATTCTGAAGTCCTTAAAACATTGTTTTTTTTGCTAAAACATGTTCAAAAGTACAATAGGCGCTTTCACACCAAGTACTTTTCCCAGGCTCCGCCACCCGAAGTCCCGGGTAAATCGCCAGAACGCCGACATCTCCACCGCTCCCACGTTTTATTTTGTGTTTCCATAAGTTAGTCTCTCTCCGTTGGTGCGCTGGGCTAATGCTAATAATGCTAATGCAAGCAAATAAAATGGCGGCTTCACAAACACTTTTTGGAGTTTTACGAGGCGTGGTTTGCAATTCGCCCAGCCAATCAGAAATTGGAACCTTTTCCTCCCAGGAAAGTACCACCTCTCTAGCAGGGACTGAAAAGGGGGGAAAAGGTTCCCGAAAAAAAGTTCCAGATCTTTTTGGTGTGAACGCAACATCCCAGGAACTATCGGAACTATTCCTGGGAAAAGTACTCCGGTGTGAAAGCGCCTATTAAGATAATCCTTAGTTATTGATCCTACAGTGTGGACATTTGCAAATAAATGAATGACTTTAAAAGTGGAAAACATGACCCTAAGGTTTGTTAGGCATGCGTGTAGTTTTTAAGAAGAAATACATGTTGGCATCTCTCTCTCTGTGATGTAATGACTATTGTAGTTTCATAAAAACCTTGTAACTGTAGGGTGGTGTTGTTCGGCAGGTTTTGTCCCCAATTATGGTTCCCAAAGTGCCATGTAACTGACTTTTTGTAATTAGTTGTATGAATCTCGCCTTTTTTTTGTGATTAAATATTGCTTTAATGTCATTGTTATATTTAATGTAAAAATATTAATTTTTGTATTTCTGACTTTAGATATTAATCAAATATTAAAAGAGGAAATTGTTATATTACATGTTGTCGGTTTTTTTTTAATGGTATGTAACAGATTATTTTTTGCCCAAATTATTTTCGGAAGAAGAAATATACCCTTAATCCTTAATGGTCCCACAGAGAGGAAATGTACATTCTGCATTTTACCCACCCTAGTGTTAGTTAATGAAATTAAAGCCACTTATCCGTTCCAGTGCTTTCCCTACTGTATATTACTCTGTCCGCCGTTAAATGCTGCCGTAAATCGATGAATGACGAAAATGTCAGTGGTTAGTTCAAGTCAGTAATCATACATACAGTCTGAGGGATGTTTTTATAAACTTCTCAGGTCAGATTAACAGAACAAGTGAAGTGAAAATAACGTTGTGTGTAGCCTACAGGTTATAAACTCGGCTCAGTAAAGTACATGCTGAAAACGGATTCTGTGTCAAGATAGTCTGCTCCTCCTCTATCAACCACCTGTACATCCTTCTACATCAGATTACTCCACTGCTATGGAGATCATCTGCTATTAGCTTGTTTACCATCCATTTTGAACAGTACGGTCGTTGCCGCTGCCCGTGTTCAGCCCACCAGTGACGTCAGAACGTTGACTCCAATACAATCTTTGGAGAATTGAGGAGGAATTAAACTTCATCAGTCGGTGCCTTAATCCAACGTTTTGTTACTAAACAACACTGAACAAGCAACAAAGAACAGGATTGAACAACATTCACATTTGCACAACTCAAAAACGGATGAACATGTTGTAACTAGTAAGCTAACAAGCTAGCCACTGTCAGCCAGGTTAGCAGTTTCACCCTGCATCTAGGCTTTGTGCTAAGCTAGGCTAACTGGGTCCTGAACTGGCAACACAGTCTCACAGCATTTCGTGTTATAGTCACAACATTAATCTATTGATTCGTGGTCACCAACACGATTCTGCCATTTTTTTTCGTGTCACACAACGATTTTAAAAGCAATGTAAATAATAACCAATTAGAAGGAAAAACAGATTTTAAAAAATACAGATTTCAGTATTCTGACACAGAACGATTTTAGAAGCAATGTATTTCTATTGGTAGTATGTTTTGTGCCTGCACCAAATAATAACATATTGGAAGGAAAAACAAATGACAAATACAGATGTCAGTATTCTGAGGCTCTGAGCCATTTCTTTTCCTCACAGACGGCAAAAAAACTCCGACATTATACCATTTAAAATAAAAGGGTTAAGTTTAGGGTAAGATATTGAGATGAAAATGTTTTTATGAACCACACAGCTTCCGGTCTTCCAAGACCCGACCGGACAAAAATACGTAGTGCTTTTAAAATCGTTCTGTGTGACACGAAAAAAAGGGGAAAATCGTGTTGGTGAACACGAATCAATAGATTACATTAATTTCGTGACTATGACACGAAATGCCGTGTTTATATAAAGAAATAGGATTAGTTTAGCGTTGGAGTTTATAAACTCAGATTTAGCTTTTTGGCATTTCTTATACTTACATTCTAGGTCCCCTTAGCTAACATTAATTGTGTAGGTTCAGCTCTCTTTGGGTTCACTAATTACTAGCATAGTTAAGCTAGAGTTAGCTTAAAGTTGGCTCATAGATGATGATTGCTGGTTCTCTCATTTAGAAAACTACTCTTGGATAAACTTTCTTGCTGGCTAGCAAGAAACAACATGTCAATCGGAAAGGTGAGTTGGTGGAAGGTGGGTAATTTCTGTTTGGAAGTGCGTGGCTAGCAGTTGTCTTCCTGCTAAACTAGGCTACACATGTTCATTATGACAATACCATGAAGTACCCATTGTTTTGTGTGTTTGGTTAGCTGATGGGTTAGCAGAGGGTTTAACCTCAATACATACTGGACAATTGTGTCTATGCTTTGGATATCATTACGTTTAGTTACAGTTAGCTTTCAGGTCTGTTACCTTAGAGATGGCTTAATGTCACCTTCAAATCAGGGCTCTATAAACCAAAATTACTCTTTAATGAACCAGCTTGTTAGATATCAAGATACTAAATGTAAATCAGACAGATTTGGAGTTGTTGGAAAGTGGATCGTTTCTGTTTTGAGGTTGAGCTAGGCTAAACACATTGTGGACTTTGTAAAGGTAAGGATTGAAATGAAGTCAAGTTTATTTTTGTCATGAACAAGCGGCTTGCCAAAGCAGTAATCACTGGATAGCTGTGACGAATCCTACATTTGTTTTACTTTGAGATAAAGCCATTCATTGAATTAGCTTCCAGACCAGTTAGCATCTTGGTCCAGCTGGCTAACAGTTGGAGGACATTTGGATAGATTGGTGACTATGGTGGTGGTGGCTAACAAGACACAACGTGCAAGACTTGGAGATGTTGAGTGTGGAGCTGAAAAGATTATTCGATAGGCTTGTTGTTCATTATTATTAAATAAATCGCCAACTTTTTAGTTAATCGATGAATCAATCTAACTTCTAAAATGTAAATATATTTTCCCCTATGACAGATATTTTTGGGATTTGTGGACAAAATAAAACATTTGAGGATGTCATTATGGGCTTTAGGAAACCCTCCGTTTCATGACATCTAATACAAAATGAATAACTGATAGAGAAATTGCCAATACAAATAATTGTTAGTTGTAGCTCAAAGGTTTTCTCTTTTGTTGAAGCTCGAATAACAGTTACCCCTTAGCTTGCAGAAGTTGTGCTAAGCTATGCTAACACATCTGGTACTCTCTCTGTACAACCTCCCCTTCTGACCCTTGGGACGATTTCCCAAAATGTCTGATTCTTCTTTAAATGTCTTATTTAGAAGTCTTCTTTTCAAGACACAGGCCCTTGAGGTTGTCTTCTTGTAAAGCATCTTCCACATTTATTTTGGACAAAATGTGGAAGTTCCAAACCCGTGTTATTCTTCGTAAGGAGTCGCAGGTTTTTCCTCCAGGCATTAAGTCCTGAAATGGGACACTGGTTCATTCAACTGACCTTACAGAAAAAGGGTTTCTGGGAAATGAAGTCCTTTGAACTGTAAGAAGTTAAATCTCTGGCCCAAGCCCCCAGGAAGTGCTCCGGACTCTGAGGAAAATATTCGTTGTGTCCAAACGGCGGTACTACAACTTAAAGTAAAAAAAAATGCACTAAAAGCCGAATCCAGATTTATTTTATCTCTCCATTCATTCTACTGAGCTGAGGGGGCTTAATTACAGGGGGCGGGGCTTAGTGTCAGGAGACGGGGCTTAAGCGGAAACTCAACTGCGCTCTATGAGCTACATACAGGTACTTCTGCTCTCACAGCAAGGCATGAGAATGTAAGGCCATTTTGTCCTCATGAGCCAATGAGCAGCTCTCACAGGAAAGAACAGGCTGTATCCAGTTCTTATTAAACATCCGTGGTCTCTGCCTGCCAAGAGTGCAAACATCACAGACGAGTCCCGTTTCGTCACCAGGAGGTCAGCTGTCCGTCACCCGAAGGCGTTTCCGTTGCGCGCGGCGCTGGCGCTGGTCCGGTTCCTGCTGCGGACGGGTCGCTCTCGGCTGAAGATGGTGTCCTGGTCGCTGTCCAGCTCCGACTCGGACATCATCAGGCTGGAGTTGTGCTCCGTGCTGCGGTGTTTGATACCTGCAGAGAGGGGAGATCTTTCATCATTAACCTCTTAAGCCCTGGACCCTAACCCTCAGGCTCGAAAATGACATGCCCAGAATGAATGAGTATATCTTCACAACTAAAAGGGGTATATGAATAATCTTTTTTATCAAAGTGATGATACACCTGTGAGTTGGCTGTAGAAGTGTCAGAATCGTAATAGATGTTGCTGTGTCAGAGTGAATTCAGTTAGAGTTAACTCTAACCTGGGGGCGATAGGGCTGAAGAGGTTAACCCTGGCACTCTACTAAGGACAATTTGATTCAGTTTATAGTGTTGTATTCAGTGGTGTAAAGTAACTAAGTAGATTTACTCAATGAGTATTTCCATATTATGCTACTGTGTACTGCTACTCCTCTACAGTTCAGAGGTACAGGTGTACTTTTCCTCCACTACATGTATTTAATACCTTTAGTTACTTCACAGATCTGGATGAATGATGTGAAATCTAATCAAGTGTTGAATCAGACTTTAGTTCCACCTGGAGTAAATCCACCAGCTACCCTGCAGTATACAAAGTCATTCAGACTAGCTGCACCTTCACCAGCTTTGAGAACACTTTCATGATCAATCATTATAAAACATATCATATATATTATTCTGAAATGGACCAATCTGCACAATCACTACTTTTACTTTTGACCGCTACAGTAACCTCCCAGCATGCATCAGGTTCTCACTCTGAAGGGACTCACTGAATTTGGGTCTGAGCTCCAGCCTCTCCTGCTCGTCCATGTTGTCCAGGATGGTGTATTTGGTTTTCCTCCTCGGCCCCTTCTGTCTCCTCCTGATCAGAAAACACAGAAGCTTCATCTCAACTCTCTTCACTTGCACCACCAGTTAAAGGTCTCCTGTCATGCTATTTGTAGGCATATATTATAGGTCTCAGATTGTTCTCTCTCAGGTTTACCACAAGGTGAGTTCCTTTTTATTTCCTGCTTCTTTACACATACTCTCTCCAGTACAGGTTAGCTCTGAGTGTTAGCATGCTAATGTAAACACAGACCATATTACTTCAAGAACAGTCAGGCATTGTTTCTGACAGCAACGTCACTTCATCCTCAGAGGATAAAGAAGTTCTGCTAACAGTCTCTCTATATATTCAACTGGTCCTACATCCCATCATTAAACCATTAAACCCTCCAGTCCTTAACCATTTACAAATCCACCTTTTACTTCCTTTGCCCTCCTGAAATATAAATCCTTAACATATGTCTCTGTTAAACACATACAAGACTAACAATACTATTTAACAGAGTAAAAGTAATCAGCGTATAAGACTATATGTTTTAAATGATAATTTCACACGACACCTGTCAGCAACCAGGGTTGGGTTGTAACGGAATACATGTTACGTTACGTAATCAGAATACACAAATCAAGTAACTGTATTCAGCTCGCGTTACATTTGAAAAACGAGTAATCTGATTACAGTTACTTTCGTAAACCTGAAGTGAATACATTGTGGATTACTTATTGGAATTATTGGTGGAAAGATTTCCTCACAACATTTAATATTCATTACTAAAGGAACAGCCGAATCATCACAGCGCACAAAACCTATTACCGCCGCAGATGGACCAAAAAACGGAGGGTTTGAACAAAATGTGCGTGTCCGCTCAGTGAAACGATAACAACGAAACATGGAGGTGTGTTTGTTTGTAGAGGTGTGTGTGGTTAAAACACATCAGCCACCGCTCTTTAGCCTTTCTAATGATTCTGAAGGTAAACACAGGGAAGGCGGTGCGTGAAAGGCACGGCGCGCTCCTCTTCTCAGAGGCGGAGTTAACCCTCCCGCTGCCTCCTGGCGCTGCAGAGATTTCATGAAGTGAAGGAGGTGTTCCTTCTATAAAACAGCTGTGGGCAGCAGATACTGTGAGTGTCACAGACATGAATTCATAGATCAAGGCAGAGTGGTGCACACACTCTCCTGTTTTGTCAATCCGGTGCTTGAACAAATATAGCTCTACACCCCTGGCCGAAATGTCCTTAAAATGAAGTCCGAGTTCGACATTTTAATTCATGTCCTGCCAACACTGGCAGGACAGAAAGCGACACGCCCGTTCTAAGCTGTGTCCCTCACTCCTCACATCCAAAGCTGCATCCCCAAAAAGTTTATTATGTTGTTGCATCGTTTCAGAGGTTATGTTTCAGTTGTGCTTTTGATAAGCCATTAAAACAGTAAAAACACGTTCAGTTTCCTTTTGCTTTTTGTGTCTCCTGTTCACCAAAACATACCATCTGTGATGGAAAAAGAAAGTAATCCAAAAGTAATCTAAAAGTAATCTGATTACGTGATTTACATTTTTAAGACACGTAACTGTAACTGTATTCGGATTACTTTCAGAGCCATGTATTCAGTAATCAGTAACTGATTACATTTACAAAGTAACCCTCCCAACCCTGTCAGCAACACAGGGTAGCAGGTGTGTGTGATCAGAGTGTGTGTGTGTGTGTTCACCTCCTGCAACAGCAGATGAAAGTCCAGCTGACGGAGACGATGAAGACCATGAGCAGGAAGCTGGTCAGGATGACGTACAGCACCCTCCACTCTGCCAGGAGGAGAGGCAACATTACATCACCGGGGGAAATGGCTTTGGACGGTTTAGGAGGGTTGGGGGGGTTAGTGAGGATGCTGAATCCATTTCTGACATTTGTAGGATCAACAATGTCAGTTTTAACCAGAGTGGCCATATCTGTTCTCTGTGGACTGATTCTGATACATTTTGGGTCGATTTGGAAGATGGAGGGGACTCTCTGGATTGAACAGATTGCTTATTTAATTGAAAATAAAGTGTCCACAGTAGAGGTAATCATGTTCATCTTGTGCTCTCTATATCCAATGGTCCAACTCTACTCATGGTAGTCAGAATCAGTCCAGAGAGAACAGATATGATCACTTTCTGGTTGAAACTGACCTTTCTGATCCTGAAAATGTCAGAAATGGATTCAGCATCCTCAATAACCCTGACAAACACTCCAAATCGGCCAATGCATTTCTGAACTATTGTAGGCTACAACGCTAATTAACGCAATTTATACCAATCGTGCTAATGTCCCAACATTTGCAGGTTAGCATCCAGCTGTTTCTATGAGCTGGAGACCCTATTATACATTTCTATCATAAAACGTAGGGGTATTCAACATGTCCGGGTTCACAGCAGGACTCTGTGAGCTGATAAACAGAAGAATTAGAGCGTGTATTTACCACAGTTGCTCTCTCCGTCGCCCAGGTATCGACGAACCAGGTTCTGGGTCCAGAACGGGTCGCAGGCACAGTCCTTAGAGATGGGATCACACTGACCGTGGCCCGAGCAGCGGAGCAGGCACACTGACCGGCAGAAAGAGAGAGGGCAGGAAGCTGTGATTCATGCTTTGTGTGCTGTTCCCTCTCAGTGTGTTGAAATCCCTGTGCTCCCCCCAGAGGGAGTTTCTTATAAATCACAAAGTGGTGTTAATACGTGGAGATTATCCTGCTGAACTACACGTGTAAGTATCATAAACGTTTGTTTGACACAGAGATTATTTTCTGACATAATCCAAAATCACATGGAGGAATCCCATTGGACCAGGGGGTTGCTGCCTTCAGGGTCCACAGAAACACTGTTTCAAGTTTCAAGGCTTTATTGTCATTAGCACATTAGCTACAGTGTAGATATGGCAATGAAAAAAAGTCCCAGGCTCCTCTAACAGAGCATCATATATAGGACATAAAACAAATACAACAGATAAGTATGTATGGTGAATACTCAACAGATGAGTGATGTTTGTGAGTAAATTAAGTGTTGAACAGGATGATCTCTTGCTGACTCACAGACGGTGTCGACTCTCAGAGCTCTGAACAGCAGGTAGTCGCTCTTCTCCCGCAGCAGCTGGTTCCTCAGCAGAAACACCAGCCTGGAGCCAGACACCGGCCCCTGGGGGCCCCGAACCGAGAGCCGCAACACCGTGCTGCACGGGGGGGAAACCAATACATCAAGCACTGTACTTCTGAGGTACTTGTGTAACGTCTATTGTTGCTAAAACCCAGATTAAAGGGTCGTGTTTTTGTGCTCTAATGTTAAATGTTTGTTGTTTGTTTTTCATGTATTGTGTCTTGATATGTGTCGGTTGATGTTACACATGGAGCTGCTGTGATGCAAGGAGCATTTCAGACTTGATCTGACCATTAAAGTATTATCGTATCGTACTCAGAGGAGTAAAGTAACTAAGTACATTTACTCAAGCACTGTACTTTTGAGGTACTGTGTAATATCTATTATTATTTGAGTATTAAATAAACTGGTGGTTCAGTAAACTGGTGGTTCAGTAAACTGGTGGTTCAGTAAACTGGTGGTTCAGTAGACTGGTGGTTCAGTAAAGTGGTGGTTCAGTAGACTGGTGGTTCAGTAAACTGGTGGTTCAGTAAAGTAGTGGTTCAGTAGACTGGTGGTTCAGTAAAGTGGTGGTTCAGTAGACTGGTGGTTCAGTAAACTGGTGGTTCAGTAGACTGGTGGTTCAGTAGACTGATGGTTCAGTAAACTGGTGGTTCAGTAGACTGGTGGTTCAGTAAAGTGGTGGTTCAGTAGACTGGTGGTTCAGTAAAGTGGTGGTTCAGTAGACTGATGGTTCAGTAAACTGGTGGTTCAGTAGACTGGTGGTTCAGTAAACTGGTGGTTCAGTAAACTGGTGGTTCAGTAAACTGGTGGTTCAATAAAGTGGTGGTTCAGTAGACTGGTGGTTCAGTAGACTGGTGGTTCAGTAGACTGGTGGTTCAGTAAACTGGTGGTTCAGTAAACTGGTGGTTCAATAAAGTGGTGGTTCAGTAGACTGATGGTTCAGTAGACTGGTGGTTCAGTAGACTGGTGGTTCAGTAAACTGGTGGTTCAGTAAACTGGTGGTTCAGTAGACTGGTGGTTCAGTAAACTGGTGGTTCAGTAGACTGGTGGTTCAGTAGACTGGTGGTTCAGTAGAGTGGTGGTTCAGTAGACTGGTGGTTCAGTAAACTGGTGGTTCAGTAAACTGGTGGTTCAGTAAAGTGGTGGTTCAGTAAAGTGGTGGTTCAGTAGACTGGTGGTTCAGTAGACTGGTGGTTCAGTAGACTGGTGGTTCAGTAGACTGGTGGTTCAGTAGACTGGTGGTTCAGTAGACTGGTGGTTCAGTAGACTGGTGGTTCAGTAGACTGGTGGTTCAGTAGACTGGTGGTTCAGTAGACTGGTGGTTCAGTAGACTGGTGGTTCAGTAGACTGGTGGTTCAGTAAAGTGGTGGTTCAGTAGACTGGTGGTTCAGTAAACTGGTGGTTCAGTAGAGTGGTGGTTCAGTAAAGTGGTGGTTCAATAAAGTGGTGGTTCAGTAGACTGGTGGTTCAGTAGACTGGTGGTTCAGTAAAGTGGTGGTTCAGTAAAGCGGTGGTTCAGTAGACTGGTGGTTCAGTAAAGTGGTGGTTCAGTAGACCGGTGGTTCAGTAGACCGGTGGTTCAGTAAAGTGGTGGTTCAATAAAGTGGTGGTTCAGTAGACTGGTGGTTCAGTAGACTGGTGGTTCAGTAAAGTGGTGGTTCAGTAAAGCGGTGGTTCAGTAGACTGGTGGTTCAGTAAAGTGGTGGTTCAGTAGACCGGTGGTTCAGTAGACCGGTGGTTCAGTAAACCGGTGGTTCAGTAGACTGGTGGTTCAGTAGACTGGTGGTTCAGTAGACTGGTGGTTCAGTAGACTGGTGGTTCAGTAAACTGGTGGTTCAGTAGACTGGTGGTTCAGTAGACTGGTGGTTCAGTAAACTGGTGGTTCAGTAAACTGGTGGTTCAGTAAACTGGTGGTTCAGTAGACTGGTGGTTCAGTAGACTGGTGGTTCAGTAAACTGGTGGTTCAGTAAACTGGTGGTTCAGTAGACTGGCGGTTCAGTAAACTGGCGGTTCAGTAAACTGGCGGTTCAGTAGACTAGTACCTGAGGTGCGAGTGTCCCAGCAGTGCTCGGACCTGGATGTCGCTGTCCAGGACGTGGATCAGCGCGGCAAGCTGTCGGACCAGCTTGTCCCTCTGAGCCACGCTCACCTGAGAAACCGCTACCTGCATCTCCAGCTCCACCTCCTCCCCTCCGCCCGGCTCTACGGAGACACAGCGGGGACAAACTTCAGTGCTACAGCAACCCTGGTCTCCTCAACAGGAAGTAACTGTTTCCACAATAACTTTTTACCGGCGCACATACATGTAAATATATCCAATATGTACAGTGGGGCAAAAAAGTATTTAGTCAGTTACCAATTGTGCAAGTTCTCCCACTTAAAAAGATGAGGCCTGTAATTTTCATCCTAGGTATACTTCAACTATGAGAGACAAAATGAGAAAGAAAAAAAATCCAGAAAATCACATTGTCTGATTTTTAAAGAATTTATTTGCAAATTATGGTGGAAAATAAGTATTTGGTCAATAACAAAAGTTGATCTCAATACTTTGTTATATACCCTTTGTTGGCAATGACAGAGGTCAAACGTTTTCTGTAAGTCTTCACAAGGTTTTCACACACTGTTGCTGGTATTTTGGCCCATTCCTCCATGCAGATCTCCTCTAGAGCAGTGATGTTTTGGGGCTGTCGCTGGGCAACACGGACTTTCAACTCCCACCAAAGATTTTCTATGGGGTTGATATCTGGAGACTGGCTAGGCCACTCCAGGACCTTGAAATGCTTCTTACGAAGCCACTCCTTCGTTGCCCGGGTGGTGTGTTTGGGATCATTGTCATGCTGAAAGACCCAGCCACGTTTCATCTTCAATGCCCTTGCTGATGGAAGGAGGTTGTCACTCAAAATCTCACGATACATGGCCCCATTCATTCTTTCCTTTACACGGATCAGTCGTCCTGGTCCCTTTGCAGAAAAACAGCCCCAAAGCATGATGTCCCCCCCCCCCCCATGTTTCACAGTAGCTATGGTGTTCTTTGGATGCAACTCAGCATTCTTTCTCCTCCAAACACGTCTAGTTGAGTTTTTACCAAAAAGTTCTATTTTGGTTTCATCTGACCATATGACATTCTCCCAATCCTCTTCTGGATCATCTAAATGCTCTCTAGCAAACTTCAGACGGGCCTGGACATGTACTGGCTTAAGCAGGGGGACACGTCTGGCACTGCAGGATTTGAGTCCCTGGCGGCGTAGTGTGTTACTGATGGTAGCCTTTGTTACTTTGGTCCCAGCTCTCTGCAGGTCATTGACTAGGTCCCCCCGTGTGGTTCTGGGAATTTTGCTCACCGTTCTTGTGATCATTTTGACCCCACGGGTGAGATCTTGCGTGGAGCCCCAGATCGAGGGAGATTATCAGTGGTCTTGTATGTCTTCCATTTTCTAATAGTTGCTCCCACAGTTGATTTCTTCACACCAAGCTGCTTACCTATTGCAGATTCAGTCTTCCCAGCCTGGTGCAGGTCTACCATTTTGTTTCTGGTGTCCTTTGACAGCTCTTTGGTCTTGGCCATAGTGGAGCTTGGAGTGTGACTGTTTGAGGTTGTGGACAGGTGTCTTTTATACTGATAACGAGTTCAAACAGGTGCCATTAATACAGTTAACAAGTGGAGGACAGAGGAGGCTCTTAAAGAAGAAGTTACAGGTCTGTGAGAGACAGAAATCTTGTTTGTTTGTAGGTGACCAAATACTTATTTTACCGAGGAATTTACCAATTCATTCATTAAAAATCCTACAATGTGATTTCCTGGATTCTTTCCCCCCATTCTGTCTCTCATAGTTGAAGTGTACCTAGGATGACAATTACAGGCCTCATCTTTTTAAGTGGGAGAACTTGCACAATTGGTGGCTGACTAAATACTTTTTTGCCCCACTGTACATGACCCAAATATGTATATCTGTTAATTTTAATTCATTTCTTATTTTAAAGTGACTTAACTCTATATCATTTAATTTGTTATTGTATTAATTTTTAATCTGTGTGAATCTGGGCTGTCCCGTTTTTCATTCTTACCCTGTTGCTGTTAAGCTACTGCATTGGGATTAATAAAGGTCCATCTTATCTTATCTTAACTGACTTCACGTGTGTTCTGGTCTTTAGTACACCATTGACCTCTGAATTGTGGTAGAGTCAAAGTACCATCAAATGTAAAATACTCTAGTACAGTACAAGTACCTCAACATTGTACCTAAGTACAGTACTTCAATCAATCAATGTTTGTTTATACAGCCCAATATCACTAATGTTACTTTTGTCTCAGTGGACTTCACAGTTTGTACAGAATATAAATACGACCCCCTGTGTCCTTAGACCCTCACATCGGACAAGGAAACACTTCCAAAGAAACCCCACAGTTAATGGGGAGAAATGGAAGAAACCTCTGAGGGCAACAGAGGAGGATCCCTCTCCCAGGACGGACTGCAATAGATGCCGTGTGTAAATTGAAAAGATAATACATTTACAACATAGGTAGACCGAATGTTTGGAAATGCATGGGTCTATAATAATAAGATGACTCCAGGAGGATGTCAGTGATCCTGTGGGAGCCATCAGAGAAGAAGTGAGGTGAGAGTCAGCAGGACCACAGAGACAGGCACATTACTTGAGCCAATGCTCTCCGTTACTTCACCCCACTGATAACCAGGACCCACCTGGGCGGACCTCCACGGTGGCGGTGGCGCTGCCGGAGCGGCCCTGAGCGTCGCTGACTCTCAGCTGGAACAGGTAGGTTCCCTCCACCAGGTTGGCCAGGTACAGGGAGGCCTGCGTCTCCGAGCCGTACAGAACATCCTGCATTCACACAGGGAGCTCGCTTATTGGTCCTAAATACAAATCAATCCTGACATCATTGATGCAATCCAATGTAAATAAAATGTAAAAAGAGATTTCAGTTCAGGATCTCAATGCAAAATCTAACATTGTGTCTTTTTTAGTGCATGTCAATGGTCTGCAAAGGCTAAAATGCCTGTGTTCCCTTCAGAGGGAGTTTCTCCTCCCCACCTTCTGCCTGAAACGCCTACATTGGAATCCTTTGTTTACTTCCGGAACATGGAGACATCACTATGTAACACTCGCTCCTATTGGCTAACGCTCAAACACATTGTACGTGATAGGCTAAGGGGCGGGACATCTCTAAGTGGTTGACCAATCCCAACAGAGTCGGACAGCTAACCAATCAGAGCAGACTGGGCTCTGGTTTCAGACAGAGGGTGAAAAGTATAGAAATGTATGAAAAGACTTTCTATAGTATGTTGTTAAAGACATCTGTAGAGTACGTCACATAGAAGTAATAGTATGTTAAAAAACTTAAAATTTGATTTAAAAAGGTCTTTTAAAGTAAAAAGATATATAGAAAAAATATATGTTTCTTGTAAAATTGTGATTCAAAAGTAATGAATAAAATATAGAAAAAATGTCAAAGAAGTAAAGTATGTTATTAAAAAATACAGTATAAATTGCTACAAAAAGAAAACATGAAATACGATAAAAATGTTATTAAAAAGTTTCCTGTTCCCCTGTTTATTAAAAAACAGTACAGTTAGTTTTTGTTAATCTGATGTATCCACTGACCCCGGCTGCAGGGCTCTGGCTGTCTCTGACCCACAGGAAGTGCACCTCGCTGGGGTCCGCGTCGCTCACTGAGCCCCGCAGAACCAGAGAGTTGTTGGGCAGCGTCAGAGAGTGGCTGCCGCTGGCGTGCACCACCGGAAGAGAAGTCCTGGCTGCAGCAGGGAAACATCACAGGAACAGCTTGGAGCATTCATCACAGGGGGACGTGTGAACGTTTTAAACACACTATAGAACGTAAAAAACTATGCTTTTACTTTACTTTAACTTTTTAATGATATGTTTATATATTCCTTTATTGTCCTTGCATTCGGTACAGTGAAATTAAAGAGTCCTCTCCTGCTGATGTTCAGGTGTATATCAGTATGTAGTGTCTCTACTTTAAAGAGTCCTCTCCTGCTGATGTTCAGGTGTATATCAGTATGTAGTGTCTCTACTTTAAAGAGTCCTCTCCTGCTGATGTTCAGCTGTATATCAGTATGTAGTGTCTCTACTTTAAAGAGTCCTCTCCTGCTGATGTTCAGGTGTATATCAGTATGTAGTGTCTCTACTTTAAAGAGTCCTCTCCTGCTGATGTTCAGGTGTATATCAGTATGTAGTGTCTCTACTTTAAAGAGTCCTCTCCTGCTGATGTTCAGGTGTATATCAGTATGTAGTGTCTCTACTTTAAAGAGTCCTCTCCTGCTGATGTTCAGGTGTATATCAGTATGTAGTGTCTCTATTTTAAAGAGTCCTCTCCTGCTGATGTTCAGGTGTATATCAGTATGTAGTGTCTCTACTTTAAAGAGTCCTCTCCTGCTGATGTTCAGGTGTATATCAGTATGTAGTGTCTCTACTTTAAAGAGTCCTCTCCTGCTGATGTTCAGGTGTATATCAGTATGTAGTGTCGCTACTTTAAAGAGTCCTCTCCTGCTGATGTTCAGGTGTATATCAGTATGTAGTGTCTCTACTTTAAAGAGTCCTCTCCTGCTGATGTTCAGGTGTATCAGTATGCAGTGTCTCTACTTTAAAGAGTCCTCTCCTGCTGATGTTCAGGTGTATATCAGTATGTAGTGTCTCTACTTTAAAGAGTCCTCTCCTGCTGATGTTCAGGTGTATATCAGTATGTAGTGTCTCTACTTTAAAGAGTCCTCTCCTGCTGATGTTCAGGTGTATATCAGTATGTAGTGTCTCTATTTTAAAGAGTCCTCTCCTGCTGATGTTCAGGTGTATATCAGTATGTAGTGTCCTCTATTTTAAAGAGTCCTCTCCTGCTGATGTTCAGGTGTATATCAGTATGTAGTGTCTCTACTTTAAAGAGTCCTCTCCTGCTGATGTTCAGGTGTATATCAGTATGTAGTGTCTCTACTTTAAAGAGTCCTCTCCTGCTGATGTTCAGGTGTATATCAGTATGTAGTGTCGCTACTTTAAAGAGTCCTCTCCTGCTGATGTTCAGGTGTATATCAGTATGTAGTGTCTCTACTTTAAAGAGTCCTCTCCTGCTGATGTTCAGGTGTATATCAGTATGTAGTGTCGCTACTTAAAGAGTCCTCTCCTGCTGATGTTCAGGTGTATATCAGTATGTAGTGTCTCTACTTTAAAGAGTCCTCTCCTGCTGATGTTCAGGTGTATCAGTATGCAGTGTCTCTACTTTAAAGAGTCCTCTCCTGCTGATGTTCAGGTGTATTCAGTATGTAGTGTCTCTATTTTAAAGAGTCCTCTCCCTGCTGATGTTCAGGTGTATATCAGTATGTAGTGTCTCTATTTTAAAGAGTCCTCTCCTGCTGATGTTCAGGTGTATATCAGTATGTAGTGTCTCTACTTTAAAGAGTCCTCTCCTGCTGATGTTCAGGTGTATATCAGTATGTAGTATATCTACTTTAAAGAGTCCTCTCCTGCTGATGTTCAGGTGTATATCAGTATGTAGTGTCGCTACTTTAAAGAGTCCTCTCCTGCTGATGTTCAGGTGTATATCAGTATGTAGTGTCTCTACTTTAAAGAGTCCTCTCCTGCTGATATTCAGGTGTATATCAGTATGTAGTGTCTCTACTTTAAAGAGTCCTCTCCTGCTGATGTTCAGGTTATATCAGTATATAGTGTCTCTACTTTAAAGAGTCCTCTCCTGCTGATGTTCAGGTTATATCAGTATGTAGTGTCTCTACTTTAAAGAGTCCTCTCCTGCTGATGTTCAGGTTATATCAGTATGTAGTGTCTCTACTTTAAAGAGTCCTCTCCTGCTGATGTTCAGGTGTATATCAGTATGTAGTGTCTCTACTTTAAAGAGTCCTCTCCTGCTGATGTTCAGGTGTATATCAGTATGTAGTGTCTCTACTTTAAAGAGTCCTCTCCTGCTGATGTTCAGGTGTATATCAGTATGCAGTGTCTCTACTTTAAAGAGTCCTCTTTAAAGCGTGTGGGAGAGAAAGTCCCTCTGAAGGGAACACAGGGATTTTAGCCTTTGCAGACCCTTTACATGCACTAAAACCTATAGAACACACTACAGGGAAGCAGAATAGGGCATCTTTGAAACGTTTACCAAACTACAAGACTAAAATGTTTTTTAACATATCTGTTGTTGATGAAAAACAAAAGACTGATGATTTTTGCTTTTTGGTATCAACTCTGATAAATGATAATGAAACAATATATCATATATTTATTTTAAGAAAGTGACCCCTCTCACCTCCCTGGACTCTGAGGGTGAGTGAAGCGCTGTCCGTCACCCCCTGCTGGTCGGACACCGTCAGGGTGAAGTTGTAGCGTCCTGCCCGAAGTCCCGTCACCGTGGCTACGGCCTGGTCTGCACCCTCGACCTTTGACCCTGGGGGGCCGCTGGAAAAACATGATGGAGAAAACACAGCCGAGTGAAAACCTGACAAAAGTCATTAATCTTACTTTAACTCTAAGTACTTTCTGCAGCTGCTGACGCTGTGTGCAGTTTACAGCAGAATCTGATCACTATGGGTTCATACCGCTGTAGTAAACCAGATACATTCTAAGCTAAAGGAGGCTAGTGTTGGGCTATAAAGGAACTACAGCACGGTCACATGACTTCACGTCACCACCGCTAAGCTAAAGGAGGCTAATGTTGGGCTATAAAGGAACTACAGCACGGTCACATGACTTCACGTCACCACCGCTAAGCTAAAGGAGGCTAATGTTGGGCTATAAAGGAACTACAGCACGGTCACATGACTTCACATCAGCACCGCTAAGCTAAAGGCGGCTAGTGTTGGGCTATAAAGGAACTACAGCACGGTCACATGACCTCACGTCAGCACCGCTAAGCTAAAGGTGGCTAATGTTGGGCTATAAAGGAACTACAGCACGGTCACATGACTTCACGTCAGCACCGCTAAGCTAAAGGTGGCTAATGTTGGGCTATAAAGGAACTACAGCATGGACACATGACTTCACGTCACCACCGCTAAGCTAAAGGTGGCTAATGTTGGGCTATAAAGGAACTACAGCACGGTCACATGACTTCACGTCACCACCGCTAAGCTAAAGGTGGCTAATGTTGGGCTATAAAGGAACTACAGCACGGTCACATGACTTCACGTCAGCACCGCTAAGCTAAAGGTGGCTAATGTTGGGCTATAAAGGAACTACAGCATGGACACATGACTTCACGTCAGCACCGCTAAGCTAAAGGTGGCTAATGTTGGGCTATAAAGGAACTACAGCATGGTCACATGACTTCACGTCACCATCGCTAAGCTAAAGGTGGCTAATGTTGGGCTATAGAGGAACTACAGCACGGTCACATGACTTCACCTCACCACCGCTAAGCTAAAGGTGGCTAACGTTGGGCTTGATGATGTTTAGTAGTGGGCCATAGTTGAATACAATCTAAAATAATAACAAATGCAGTTCATGGTCCTACCTCACAATGTGCCAGTGGTAGCTGACGATCCCGCGGTCGTCGGTGCTGCCGCTGCCGTTGAGCAACAAGCTGCTCACAGGGAGGACCAGCTTCCTGTCAGGACCCACGACGGCCAGCGGGCCACGGTTTGACCCGCCGACCTCTGACCCTGAACAAAGGGAGGGGGAGGAAAGCTCTAAATAATAATGATAATCATCATAATAATGAAAAAGTATTAAAATACATAAATAATAATTGTGTAAAAAATTCATATAAACAAACCAAATTATAAAAGTAAAATAACAATGAAAATAATTATTATTAAAAAGATATATTAAATAAATAAAAGTATTATAAATAATAATATTAAGTTAATTAATTGAAGTGTCTCCCTGCTGTATATATAAATGTACCAGACTCAGTGGTTGCAGTGGTTGTAGCACTGGGGGTGGTCACTGTTGGAGGGATGGTGCCGGGCGTCGATGTGGTGCTGGGGGTCGATGTGGTGCTGGGGTCAGGGGTCACAGGTCTTTTCGTGGATTTGATGGCGGTGGGTGGAGGTCTGGCTGACTGCAGCACCTTCAGCATGTCTGTGGAGCATCAAGAAAACACAACTAATATCATCCTTACATTTTTTTTTATTTAATTCTGAATCTGAACAGTTCTGGTGGTTCAATGTTTGTTGTTCATGTATTGTGTCTTGATATCTGTCCGTTGATGTTACACATGGAGCTGCTGTGATGCAAGTAACATTTCAGACTTGATCTGACCGTTAAAGTATTATCGTATCGTATCGTTCATGTGTTTTATTTTTTTAAAGAACTCTTGGTGAGAGCCAAAATAATAACAAACAAAATATCATAAATGCACAGACGGTGGTAAAACAGAGCATCCCTGTAAGTATACCTGGCTGTGTGCTGACCGGCCAATGAGGCGCGGCGGTGGTGGTGGGAGTCCTTATATGGTCGTGCTGAGTGGAGACAGCTGTGGGTTCCTGCAGCAGTAACAGCGGCAGGGACGTTGAACCAGTGCTGCTTTGTGTTTCAGTCTGTAAAAAAGAAGGATATAAGCAGCCTGACCATTCGAGGTATTTCTCTGCAACCCTTTTTTCACGCTAGCTGTTTCCCTTTGCTACCAGTCTTTATGCTAAGCTCTCGTCCACCTGAACGTGTCACTAGGGATACACAGATTTGAATATTTACCTTGTTGTGATGCATACATTTTGTGTCACCTAAATGTTGTGTTGGTTATTTTTCAGTCGGACTCAAACAACAGTGGTTTTATAGTAGCTTTGAACATCACCCGCCTTTAGCTTAGCTCTTCATTGGCTGCGCGAATGATCATTAACCTGATAACCCACTCACAGCTTTCTCTGCAGCAGGAGGGTCAGTCGGTCTCCTGGTTCTGTGCTCGTCTCCCTGGCTGATGTTCCCCTCAGAGGAGGCTTTAATCTGGTCCACACTGCTTCCCGTCAGCCCCCCCTCTGGAGCATCCCCGGCCTCTGATTGGTTGAACCTGGCTCCCCTCTCCTCCTGGCTCTCCTCTGGATACTCCAGGTCAGGGAACAGGGCGAGGTCCTTCAGGGCCTCCAGGTCCCCGCCATACGGCTCTCCTCTCACCAGAGACTGCAGCACCTGTTGGAGGTCAGAGGTCCAGTTCAGGACAGGATATGAACCAACATTTAATCTTCAGTTGAGTAGCATGAAGGGTTTCAGGCAATGAGTTTTACTGTTAAATTAAGTCGGTTCCCGGACAAAGACAGTGCGTAAAAAGTTCCAGCCATGCACGCACGCTAACAAAATAATAAGAGTTTTGAGAAAATAAAATGGGAATTTTTCATTGGTCGATTAGGAAAGTTTAGGAGTGGTTTTGTGGGTTATTGAGGATGGTGAGTCCATTTCTGAGGATCAAGAATTACAGTTTTTACCAGAAGGTTGCCATATCTGTACTCTCTGTTGTCATTTCTAACATAAAACTTTGGGGTTTTTAACATTTTCCGTGTTCCGACCAGGACTCTATAGAAACCTGCCGCTACGCACCAGGCTCTGCGGGGTCTCTCTCCGCAGGAAGGCGAGGCGTGACTCTGCGCCCGGTCTCTCTCGGGGGGCGCAGGCCTCGGCCCGCGGGCAGCGCAGGACGTAGCATCGCCCCTCGAACAGCCACGCCAGCTCGTAGCCCGTTAGCTTGCAGCACGCCGCCACGCACTGAGGCAGCGACGCCACGCCGGGGACACGCAGGATCCCGCTGCCCTCCGACGCCGGAGACACCACGGCCTCCGAGAAGGTCGCCCCCTGCCAGCAGCCAGACGCCACTGCAGCTGCAACGCAACGTTACTTTGTGAGATTCAGCATTCCTTTATTAGTCCCACAACCAGAGGGTGGGAAGTACCTCAGTACATTTACTCAGGTAATGTACTTTAGAGGTACTTGTACTTTACTTGAGTATTTCCATTTGATGCTACTTTGTACTTCTACTCCACTACAGTTCAGAGGTAAATGGTGTACTTTCACTCCACCACATGTATTTAATCCATTTATTTACTTCACAGATGTGGATGAATGATGTGAAATCTAATCAAGTGTTGAATCAGACTTTAGTTCCACCTGGAGTAAATCCACCAGCTACCCTGCAGTATACAAAGTACTTCAAACTAGCTGCACCTTTACCAGCTTTGAGAAACACTTTCATGATCAATCATTATAAAACATATCATATATATTATTCTGAAATGGACCAATCTGCACAACGACTACTTTCACTATATTTTGATGAGAATACTTTTCTACTTTCACTTAGTTTTGTACTAAATGTATTGTTATTAGTGATGATGATGAGGATGAGGATGATGAGGATGACGTACCTTCCACACAGTGAAGCAGCAGCAGAAGACGCTCTTTCCCACATGGTCAGCCTGAAACAGAAAACAATCTTGAAAGGTTATTTTTATTTGTTATGTTATGTCATTAGTTTTGTTCTTCAAACCAGTGACTTTCAACGGCTGTGCCGAGACAAGCCAGTGTGCCGTGGGAAGTTCTCCAATGTTACGTAATCGGTCCCAATAAATAATATTTATTATAAATATTATAATTATTATTAGATCTATTATTATAGCGGATAAAATAAACATTAACTACCATGACTGGTGTTTGGTGCTCAGTTTGTGTCATAGTGACCAGTTTAGTTTAGTTAGCTGTAACAGTGGCCCACGATACAGAACATTAAAGCGGTTTGGGGGATAAATACAGACAAACTTTGTTTTTATTTCATTTCTTAAAAGGTCCCATGTCATGGCCATTTCCACTGATCATAATTCCATTGTTGAGGTCTACTAGAATAGATTTACATTGTTCAATGTTCCAAACTCTCATTGGTTTCTCAAACAGCATCTCTGTATAGTATGTGTATTCACTCTCTGTCCTACACGGCTTGTTGGAGCTCCTGCCCCCCCCCCTCCCTGTGAGCCCAGTGGCCGTCTGCGAGACAGCGAGACACCATGGAACTCAGCCTGGCCACACACACACCCGCAGCCCGGCTGGGAGTTTGTGTGTGTGCCCAGGCTGAGTTCCGCGGTGACTCGCTGTCTCGCCTACAGGGTGTACTTTGAGGGTTTGTGACATCTGCAGACTGTTTACATGCATAACAAGCTACAATAACACAAGGGGACGGGTACTAACCGGAAAAGCATGACATGGAACCTTTAATGTCTGTTGGTATTTGTTTAAGTCACAAAATGTCATGCCCCGATAAACATTCCTGTTTGTCATCTTGCAATTTACTTATTTATATAAATAGTTATTACTGTAATAAACCGTATTTAATTTTGTCTTAATGTACATTTATTTAAATTCATATTCTGTTCTTGTACGTATCATATTCTATTTACCTGTTTAAAGACTTCTTGCACTACTTTTTATTTTGTATTTCTGTATTTTATTATATAAGTGACATTGCTGGAGGAGCTCAGGTCAGAAGGATTCCTTTCCATTTCTACACTGTAGCTTATGAGCATATGATGATACAACCTTTGAATGTTGAATCTTAGTTACTTTAGTGTCAATGTTTAAATCACATGTTGACTCAGGCCCAGTTACCGGACAGAGTTTGACTGCAACACTTACACTTAAATAAATAAATTGCATTGTCATAGATATATTCTTTTGGAGGGGGGTCCACAGGGGGGTCCAAGCTCAGTGTTAAGCCCCTCCTCAGCACCGCCCATGCTCCCATCCTGCCTGCTGTGGATGAGATAATAAAGATGATTCTAGCATTAGGCTTAGCTCACGTGCTGGATGGAGATCAAAGGATTTTGATCATGCGACACCGTCCGCAGCTCCGACACATCATGGCACCCTTACATCCGTCTGAACGTAAATAATACAAAGGGTAAATATACAATTACATGCTTGTTTTTCCCTTTCTCCTCCCAGGTCCTCCCCACTGCTTCCCCCCGGGTCCGGCCCAGCGGTCACATGGTCCCACTGCTCGGTTGTAATGGCTTTATTGTTGGGTTAATTGGTTTCACGCTCACTGTTGAAACTGTGCCGATAAAACACGGGCAGTGCCGGAGTCAGCGATATGGAAATATACCATATCCGGTCAGTGTTTTTCAAAATAAAACGTGAAGCGTGTTACATTCTGAGGATTCATATACAGGCAGGTTTTCAGAGTAAATCAGCGTTTAGGGTTTGTGTTCATATTCCATGAAGTGTGTGTGTCAGTTACTTCCCACTGTGTGTGTCCTTGCTGCTCTAACATCCCACTGAGCTGCAGTAATACCACTCCTCACTATACTCTTATTTTTGAAGGTCTGATTTCCGGTTGAGTTTACATTACCTTCACATCTCTGACAGTGCAGTCTGATGATGAGGGTGAGTTTACTGGAGCATGCTAGTTATAGTCCTCAGTATATATGTAATAATGCAGAGCTGTAAAGTAACTATGTACTGTAATTAAGTACATTTTGTAGCTACTTTACTTGAGTATTTGTATTTTAAGCTACTTTGTACTTCTACTCCACTACAGTTCAGAGGTAAATGGTGTACTTTCACTCCTCTACATGTATTTAATCCATTTAGTTACTTCACAGATGTGGATGAATGATGTGAAATCTAATCAAGTGTTGAATCAGACTTTAGTTCCACCTGGAGTAAATCCACCAGCTACCCTGCAGTATACAAAGTCTTTCAGACTAGCTGCTCCTTTACCAGCTTTGAGAACACTTTCATGATCAATCATTATAAAACATATATATATATTATTCTGAAATGGACCAATCTGCACAAAGACTACTTTCACTGTCGCTACTTTCACTATATTTTGATGAGAATACTTTTCTACTTTGACTTGAGGAACATTTTGAATGCAGGACTTTTACTGTAACAGAGTATTCCTACACTCTGGTACTTCTACTTTGACTCAAGTACAAGATCTGAGTACTTCTACTTTTATTCAAGTACAAGATCTGAGTACTTCTGCTTTTACTCAAGTACCAGACCCTCTGTAATAATGAATGAACCAATAAATGATTAGAAACAAGAGGAAACGAGTCGGGCTCATCGCGAGACTTTTATTTTTGGGTTTTCTTAAAAAAAGAACATTTACAACCAAAATCACAGCCAGATATAAATTACAACAGCAAAACACAAGTATCTATGTTAAACACACTCGCAATGTGTGGACAGATAAAATCGAGTGAAAATAGCTTCATTCCTTCTGAAGACTGCAGTCCAGTGCATTGAAAATATACAGTGAGGCGTTCAGGGACAGTGAGGCATTCAGGGACAGTGAGGCGTTCAGGGACACCTTGGAAACGTCTTTAACAACAACAGAAACAAAGCTGTCACATACAAAAAACAACCAAACATCTTTGCAAAAGTGTGGGTGCTTTTTGAACACACCCTTTCCCCGGCTGCAGCAGGACATGCCCTTTGTTACATCTCTGAAAATATTCTTTATTTATTTTATGTTAACACTGTACCAAAACCCACTCACAACCCAATAACACTGGCCGTTTTAAAAGGAGGTAATTAGTGAGGAAGTCCGTTAGAATGAGCTCGTCATGTCGTTACCGATGAATCCGTTCCAGGGGGACTCTCTTTATCGACGCACAGAAAGGATCAGTCTCGTTTCGACCATCTCCCAACAAGCAGACAGGCCTCTTGAATCTCTTAGCTTTCTTGCTGATAAACTTTCATTTTCTGACCTTATTTTTTCCCTTTTTTACAGAAACACAGAGTGCCACCAGACACACAGAGACAGACGGAGATGATGTTAACCCTTGAGGACAACAAATCAGTGACGCTATGCACTCTTTGTGTTCGGAGCGCTTTGCATTCTTTAAATCCCCATTTGACCTTTTTTCAAAAGTAAAGTCAGAAGCTTCCTCCAGAGCTCTGCCCTCCAGACCGCCTCGGAGGAGCTGCAGGAAGGAGAGGGAAGGCTTCTCACCTCATCTTTTCCACCACTTCTCCAGGGAGTTATATCTCTTAGCTTCTGCTGATAAACATCTGACTTTTGTTTTCCTTTTTTACAGACAAGTTGGATTACAAACTGAAATAGAATAATTCTGTGTCTCGTAGTTCGGAGCGTTCACTGGAGCTTTGGCATTATTTTAAAATCCTTGTTTGTGTATTTTGAAAAGCAGAAAGTGCACAGCTCTGAACGATCCTGAGCTTCCTCCAGAGTTCCTGACGGATGCTGAGATCTCAGCTCTTCCCTCCAGATCGCCTTCGAGGAGCTGCAGGATCCTCAGACAGAGCGCAGGAAGCAGCAGGGGTCTTTTGGGGGGGGGGGTTCCTGGGTCTTCAGCATCCGGGGGGGTTCCTAGTTCTTCAGCACTTCAGGGGGGTTTCCTAGTTCTTCAGCACTTCAGGGGGGGTTCCTGGGTCTTCAGCACTCCAGGGGGGGGTTCCTAGTTCTTCAGCACTTCAGGGGGGTTTCCTAGTTCTTCAGCACTTCAGGGGGGGTTCCTGGGTCTTCAGCACTCCAGGGGGGGGGGGGTTCCTGGGTTTTAAGCACTTCAGGGGGGGTTCCTGGTCTTCAGCATCCAGGGGGGTTTCCTAGTTCTTCAGCACTTCAGGGGGGGTTCCTAGTTCTAGTTCAGCACTTCAGGGGGGGTTCCTGGGTTCAGCACTCCAGGGGGGTTTCTAGTTCTTCAGCACTTCAGGGGGGTTCCTGGGTCTTCAAGCACTCCAGGGGGGGTTTCTAGTTTCAGCACTTCAGGGGGGGTTCCTGGGTCTTCAGCACTCCAGGGGGGGGGGGGGGTTCCTGGGTCTCAGCATCCGGGGGGGGGGTGGGGGTTCCTGGGTCTTCAGCAACTCCAGGGGGGGGTGG